GGGAAAAATATTAAGAAAAAGGATGATGGCAACGGGCGCTGCCATCCCGCCATCTTCATAATATTTCTTTGCACCGCTTACTTTATATACAACCGCGCATATTTCATTTATTAACAGTTATATGACGATGATTAATCATTTAATAATATATAAATTATGAGTGTTTATGCATTTTTTTGGTTTTCTTGTATTAATAAAAATGATTGACGGACGGATAGTCCGTTAATAACTAATAACATCAAATGAATTTTTCTTTTGTAGTAAAATTGTGCAAATTTTCATCGAACAAATATCTTATCACTGTCTGCCGTGCATTTCAGGTCAACGTCTCAGACTTCTATTTATTTTGTTCAGCGCGAAGGTGTTTGTATGCGGAACGTGCGGCTCTTGTCAACTGAAAAATGTGCGAAGTTTTCTGTGATTGTAATTCGCTGCGTGTAAACAGTGGCGGACCATCTCGAACTTTTTTCATTCTCTTTATACCCATCACTGAATGATGAGGGGCATCACGTAACCCACAAAGAATATATGTGTTGTTGATTGGCATCAAATCTTCTAAGCCGATTTAGGCATGTTCGTCGATCTAATGTCTGCAGTGCAAACCGCAGAGCAAATTTACCATATTCGAGGCGTAACTATAATAAGGCCCCAAACGGCAAAGGTACAATACTTACTGACTGTGTATTCAAGCACAAGGCTGCGGTCGTTTCATAACCTCTTCAACTTTCCTTACTCTTTCTCCACTTCTCTCTCATTACCAAATTTTTACAATACATCCCTTGGATGATGGGTCATATTAAGAAAAAAAAAAAAAAAAAACACGCACACCAAACTATTATTTGTCATCCATTTTTATCGAGGCATATTAATAAAATTCCAAATTCTTTCTCTATCAAGACAGTTGAGCTAACCCTACCAAAAACCATTTTCTATAGTACTTGCGTTTAGCCTGAAACATGTTAGTGGCAAGTGCGAGGTTGAACATAGACAAATGCTCTCTTATGCGCCTAGAGTCCAAATACTTTTCTTTCATTTACCCTTACGGGATAAAGTCTCTGCAAAGAAACTGCAAAAAACGTCGAGTAAACCTTTCAAAAGTAAGCAAATGCTGATAATTACTTCTTATGTACAAAACTTTGCAAAATCTTACCTCTTTTTAGCACTTAATTAAGTTCTGCATGTATTCTTATTTAAGCATTTATTTTGCAAACTTTTTGCGTAACTACACTTCCAACGTTGTTTACGCTTATGTTGGCTACAGGTCAATGACATAAAATGTAAACAAATTCACAGAGACCATAAGGGTTGATCGCTTATGTGACTAGCCTTAGCGAAAGATAATGGTTTACAAACTTCGTCAGTCCGATTGATCAGAGAGGCTTTAATATAATCGCCAACCTAAGATTTTGAGATGAATAAGTTTAAGGACGTTCGTCCGTCACTTATTTCAATGATTCAATAATAGCAATGATAGCAATAATACCAATAATAAACATCACCCGTCCGTCCGTCCGGCCGTCCATCCAAATTCCCAACCCATCCACGGCACACTGGAAGCACTCACCAGACTTGAGCCGCCTCTGCTGACCAATTGTTCGCAACGATGTGACACACGCTTGAGGAGCCGTCCTTCACCTCTTACGAAACTGTGCGGCAAGACTTGAGGATTTGTTTGTCATAAAAGAGCAACACTTTGTTTGGTATGACATCCAAAAAATTTTCAAAGAGGTCGGAAACATGTACAGCCAGTGATGGGGGCAATACCTGGTGTTGAATATTTTTTACCATCTTCACATAATAAACGCGGATTTTTTTACACAGAAATTGCTGTTGCATAGGCACATGTCTTTAATGCCTGATTTGCTGTGCTTAGCAAAATGAATTTAAAGCTCGTAAAAATCGAACTCTGCGACCTCACTTGGAAATTTCCACTTTTCCTTTTAATGATTTGATCCTCTATAAGCATAATGTTCTTAAGAAAAATGAGCTTTCGATAATCTCAGCAAAGGTCGGGCGGTTGAACCTTCTTCTCGAAATTTCCCTGCATTCCTACCATAGCGACTACGCGACGTACCACTACTACTACATAATCTCAAAAATAGTAAATGAACCCCGGAGGTAATCATAGTTTATTCGAAATTTGCTATCGACCCACTGGGACGTACATATACGTGTGCATCTCTTCACTCAACGACACATTTTAATAATGAGCGTAAGTAAATAATAGCGCGGTTCGTTGTAATCTTGTGTTAAATATGTACGTTCCACTGTTACTCTCTAATCATTTGATTTCTATGGCCACACTTGTGCGTGGAGAGTGCGAACGCGCAAAACTTTAACCATTGACCTATAATGCATTAACTGGGCGTATTGTGTGCTTAATAAATAACAACGACTTGCATTGCATTCAATTAATTTTACATTTTTAGAATTGTACTCAAAGGTAACATAAAAGTTTTTCGACTAAAGGGTTTGAGCAAAATCGCGTATTAAGAGGAATAACGAAGAAGTAAGAAAATTATACTCATTTGAAGAGGAGAATTGAGTAGATCTCGTCAATCCCAAATTATTGGAGAATCTAAAAACTTTACATTTCCACTTATGACACTATAAAGATTTTACAAGTTTAGCTCGCCAGCTTGGCGGGATTGCTTCTGAGACCATTTACTTGAGCAGTTGATTAAAACTTCAAGTTTTCTTGTATTTGTAGGTCAAACCCAACCGTTTGTTTGTTTAAAGCGTTTCTACTTTCAATACCCTACACCATTTGCGGTACATGATCTATTAAGCTTGTGCACAAGTTTGTGTAAGAGCCAGAAGTAGTTGAGAATGATATGGTGACTATATTAGGTGAGGTGTAGAGTGCGTAATGGGCGGCTTTGGCCGGCTATAGTATTCTTGCATGTTTCTCTTCTATTCCTAATGACGTTGTATTCTACAGACTCCGCCTGAATGGCCGAAGGTAAAGAATCTCGACTAGCAGCTCTCAATGGCCGTGGGTTCGAATCTAAAGTGCAGTAGAGGTTTTCATAAAGCCGATAGCTTTAAATGCTAGTGCTTCTTAAGACTTCGCTGTTCGAATTTATTTCTCTGGCTAAATTCTTAATAATAATCTATTATACAGGATATAAACTGATCAGGAAGGTTCACAAGTTCACCTTATTTTTTGCACACAATACTCCAGTCTACGCTCAAATGTTCTTTTAACTTAATATATTTTTATATTATTGGGGTATTCTTGTCAACAGGATATAATTCTTATACTTTGATTTTCATAAATAAATGAAAATAAAGTAAAAATGATAAAATATATTTCTTTCGTCATCTGTACATGTTTCCCACTTGTCTGACAAGCTGTGAAAATTAAGTCGAAGAAACGGTTGTTCTTTTGGGATAAACTAATCGCGGAGGTATTCTTCTAATGCGCAGTAAATGTATGCCCCTTCGATGCAAGCAAGTTGTAGTCGGAAAGACTCAAGCTTACCGAGTAAGCCGCATCGGATAGCAATGCTCAGTTGAATGATTCCTACTTGTTACTAAGCTATTTAACTGTACGGAAGGATGGATGGATGGATGTAAAGATGGACGGAAGGATGGATGAAAGGATGGACGGATAAATGGACGGTTGGATGAGCTAATGGATGGATGGATGGATGGATGGATGGATGGAGGGATAGATATCATGTAAATAGATCACCACGTGCTGTCTTTTTTATAGTTTGTTGGTATCGGATAAGCGAAAGCTTCAAATCGATTAATTGTTGCTGTAGGTGTTAACAGTTTTACTAGGCCTTAATAGTCGACAACAGATCGAACTCTCTCACTGAATACAGAGTATTGTCGTCCTAAAGAGAAACTTTTACGTCTGGAATTCTCAAAATAGTTCCGCATACCACCTCTAAATTAGAATGCGATAGAAAAAAGCCTTTCTTTTGTATCCGTCGCTATCGGTGAATGCCAGATTGATGCCAGATATCCAAGCTATAAAAGAAACACAACGTCAGACATGTACATCTTCTGCTAGTGCTGTTAATGCCACCTA